CCTGTGCAAAATGAAGAAATAGTTAGGACATGCTACAGTCTCTCTGAATTGCACTGACTCCATGGAGTGGTGTGTAAACCTGAGCAAACGCACATTTTTTGCAGTTTTGCTCTCAGACAATAGCAATAAGCAAAAGTTAACTGTTTATGATTTCAGCTACTGTTATTGCAAACAGGTCCAAGTACTAATTCTGGGTAATGAATGAATTGAAATAGGATATTTTTCAAAGGACTTAAATATAGCAGGAATGGGACACTGATGCTGGACTCTGCTGTGGTTGAACTCAATATTATATTGCAGATATAATATAAATATGGCAGCCACTTAAATGGTGCTATTCCTTAAATGAGATAAATTTTCTGTTATGTTGTAGGTATTTCAATGCAAATAAGGTGAACTACCATTCAGGCTGTCCAGCATAATCTGTATAGGATTATGTTTTTCTCTTGTTGACCCTTGTGTTACACAACCCCCAAAAAGGCTTGATGCTGCTCCCCTAAACAGTGTTCCAGTACTGCAAGAATATTTAAGCCAACATTCCTTTTAAGTAGATTGACCACAATGGTTTTTGTTTTTCATATTACTGTCTTGGCCAAATACGGCTACAGTCTGAACTGGACTGGATGCACAAACATACATGGCTGTCATCATTTCATGTAGTCTGCATCACATGTATACCACGATTCAGAGCTAAAAGGCCACAGGGCAGCAAATCTCAGATGCATTAGCCATCCTAGTAAATCCATGACTCACTAAGTTGTTGCACCTTCCCATGGTATTGCTGGCATCTTGAGCTCTGACTCTGTGATATGTTGTCGTTCACGACAGTAAGTTGTCAAAATGAATATACAGTTAACCACCACAGTCTAACTGATCTGATTAACTCTCTGTCCTTATTAGGACCTCTTCCTTCCACCAAAGGCCAAGTCTCCACTTGCATTAGAGCCCAAGGTTGTCTCTTTCTTACAGGTCCAAATTGTTTCCACAAAACATCTGTCACCACCTGAATGCCTAACTGGGACATATTTTTCCTCAGTTAACAGCAACTAGTACTTACTCCAGCTATAAATCCCTGATGTATTTTGAGAGCATTTTGTCTTTATTTTATCTTTACTTCTTTTTCTGGTTCTACCTATTCAGCATAGGAGCATTTTTTGTTGAAGTCAGAGGAAATTTGTATGTACTATGAAATTAATAGATCAGCTTTCCCCATTCCAATTTAAAACAGATGAAAAACTCTTTCTTTCTTCTTTGTGCTAATGGTCTGAGCTATGCACTCATATGCAATCACAGAGTGATCTAGTTCTATTGTTCCCTTTATTTTCTCTTTCTTATTCTTTTTGTTCTTGTTTCCCTTGATTATTACCACAAGGGTTGCATTTGACATGGGCAGAAAAGAGAGAGAAATGCAACATCCTCCAGCAACACCACCTTCCTGTACTTAAGTTCTTGATTGTTTGAAAACGAAAAGCACCAAAACAAGTCCAGAGGAACAGAAAATATTTGAATTGTTTGTTAAAGCCAGAAGCTACACTTCATTGCAACAGTTACATTGCTAAGCCAAAAGCAACCTCAGTAGAATAGAAGGAAGGTCCAGATTTACTGACAGGACCAGAAATGCTTTGCAAATACAAATTACCACAAAACCAGTTAAGCTGGTTTGAAATACTGACCTAATAATGAATTTGAATTCCAGGAATGGTATAAATCAGTCATGGTTGGAAGTGCGTTCTGCCTTCCTTTTGTTTTCTGTCTCATCTTTGTGAACATGCTGTGTGTACATCATACCAAAGGAAGAATTAATTGTCTTCCATGTTATAGGGTAGAAAATAAGAAAGATAGAAAGCAAAAGAAAAAAAAATCCATGAAAGATCCCAGACAGTGTTTATGCTATACCATGCTTCCTCAATAGTGCCTTTTGTAAAATTACCTTAAACAGGTAAACTCCTTGAAAGGTTGAAGGTGTACAAAAGCAAATATTGTGATAATAGATAGCTGCAGTCACATAAAAGGCATGTAGCGGTGGAGCTCACAGCTGCTTCTTTCTCTGGAGTAAGACATGAAGCACTAAAAACAGTAACAAGCTCTTAACAAAGGTGCCACAGATGAGCAGTTTTATCAAAAAGACAGGCTAGCTCTTGGAGAATTTCCAATCCCACCACCCCATTTAATAGAAGACATATAGAAGCATCTACTGAATACAGAGACTACATTCTCATAGAGCTTCTTATGGTAAGTGCTGTCAAAACCACATAGAAATACATCCTCTTTGATTTAACTGCATGCTGGTTTGCTGGGGTTTTTTTGCAAGGTCTTTTTTTTTGTGGGTGTTTGGTTGGTTGTAAGGCTTTTTATAAAGAACCTCTTTACTGATATGCTTCAGCTAGATAACTGTGGGAGTAAAGACATAGTTTCCTCCAAATGTCAGCCTGTGTCTGGAACAGAAGTTGAATAACTGAAACTAGAAATAAAATACAAATGTTTTCATTTAACTTATTTGTCCTCTGAGATAAACACAGAAGAAATCCAATTAGATACCTAAAATATCAGTTTTTGAAAATAAGTTTGCATGTATTCTTTTATAAACATTTGTCCTTTTCCTAACAAATAAAATATTCACTCTTTGACCACAGTTGGCTAAATCTGTCCAAATTAAAATTCAGTGCTTTCTAAACTCCCTAAAAAAGCTAAAGGGGGAAATACCGAAGGAGTATCCTGCTTCTGCCTTTGAAAAAGACTTTAAAATTTAACTGCATATGTAATTCTTGCATACATTCAAATATAGAATTCAACTGAATGTATTCCATGGCATGTGGTCTTATTTTTCAATTCAGTGTTGTATAGAAGACCATGGTGAGACAGTTTTGGTGTGCTATTCTATTTGCATCTCCATGCAGGGGCCACGTAGAGATGGCTAGGTGCCTGCCCATTAAGATATGCACAACTCTCTGCCTGGAGATGCTACAACTTAGGAAAAAAGAAAAAAAAAAGGTAACAGAAAGTGCTGAAAGGAAGGAAGTTGTTTCTCACCTTCCTGTATTGAGAAACCAAGATCTAGAAAAAAAATATTGGCTTATTCTGGAATTTTTAAAACAAGTACAGACTTAGTTATTCAAAGTGGCAGTCCCGGGCTTGAACTATAAAACATTTTATGTGGGAGCTGCTGACATTTCCATCCCACAATGGGAAGGGGACTTTATGTGTCCTATTTCTATCATCTGCCTGTACAGGTTTTTGAGACTTCCCTTGCTAGGACAGCTGTTAGTGAACTAAAAATACATCTGCACATCCAAGTACAGGTGGGATGAAGTTTCAAGCAAAAAAAATCACCATTTTATTATTCTCTTAATCATTTGTGATTTGGTTATTTGTTTTTCTGTTTAAAGAAGTGCCCATCCAATGCCTTAGGCAAATGTGCATAAAACTTGAAACAATCCCATCAGTGTTTTCTGAGGACTAACGAAGCAGCTGGTTTGAAGAGAAAAAGCTTTCACCCGGGATCCTGATTGCTCCCAAAGCAGGTCTTTTCCTCCCACAAAGGCCCATTTCAGCAAACCTGCTGGAAGTCTTATGTGACATATAGACTCCCCGGGTAAACCAGTCTCCAAAATCTGCTTTTACCTTCTCTGGCAGTTTTGCTACTCCAGAGATTTCTGAGCTTCTGTTCTTTGCTCTGATGAAGAGATGTGTGGTGGTCAGGATAAACACGTGGAGTAACAGAACAACAGTACATTTAATGTGGATGTGAAGATGAGCAGAAAGAAAGTTAAAGCATGGATATTTTGAGGAGATAGGAGGACATAGATGTCCATTTGTATTAAATAAAAAATAACTTCTCTAAAACATACTTTTGTCTTTGCTCTGCCAATCAGCATGTGTGGGAATTAAACATCTGGAGTGTGTCTGAAGTTTGAAGTTTTTTTCAAAAGAAATGAACTTTTAAAAGTTCACCTCCTTGTGTCTGATTGAACGCCTTCCGAAAAATTAGCAATAAGACAGCTAAGGAAAAGTTGGCTTCTCTTTGCTAGAGAGCTAAGGGATTATCAGTGTGTTTTGAGGCTCACACAGTGATAGAAGTCATTTGTGTCTTCACATTACAAAAGCTAAGTCAGCCCTAATTGTAGTAATGATTTAGCAGCAGATTTCCTTATCATAACATTCAATACTTATATTGATATAAGCTTAGTAAGAATAATTTAGTGGAATGGAATTTAGATCTAGATTTAATTTACATGAATGTAGATGTCTAAAGAAGAGATAGATATATACATTTCCTATGCACTTAAGAGATTTAATCAATACAGCCAACGAAGCCTAGAGAGCAAATCAAAGGCCAGCCTTTAAAAGTCTACCTAAGAGTAAGCTGAATTGCTCTCCAGGCTCCTCAGATTGTCCTGATCTGCAGCCTCCTCCAAAAGTGCTAGAGGACCACAGGATCTTCTTGTCCTAGAATTAAGCAATGCACTTACATATGGACACAAAATCCCTTACCTGGAAAGTCCTTTCTGTATACCTTAGCATAGTGAAATGGGGTCAAGGCTACTTGTAAAATGTAGGGTTAGAGACAGTCTGATTTCAGAGCAGCAGTTTCTTAGTTTAAGGGGCTTCCTTCAGACACTTACCTTCCTATTTAGGTCTCAAATGAAATTAGTGATATTTTTCAGAGGGCCTGAGTACTCTCAGTTCCTGGTGAAGTCAACATTCTCACATGATAAGGGAAGTTTTAGAATTTGTTTGGGTAGCAAGTCTAACTGTAAAAGGTGTTGCCATATTTATTTAAAATTTAAAAGAATTGCGTTTGGGTGTATACTGACACCCAATGATGTGAAATCAGACACTGATAAATTTTCAACACTACAAAACTGAATAAAACTTATAATCAGAGCAAGATTTTTAAAAATGGTAAAAGCTTTCTCTAAAAGAATCAATAACCTATTTCAGGAATAAAAACTCATAATGAAAGTTTTACACAAATTGAAAGAATGGTAATGGATGAGAAATTTTATGAGAAAACTTTAAACTCAAAGATGGAATTCCAGCAGCACCTTATATTCAGCACGTTGATATCAGGGCACTCAGTGCCCTGTATAACCTCAGCAAATGAACTTCAGGACAGCCTTGGGATTGTCTTTGTGCTGTGGCAAAGAGAAGACTGGAGAACCACTTTAGGGCAAAGGAGCCAGTAGCATACAAATGTGCACAGAGGGAAGGGAGTGACTGGAAAAGAAAATTTTTACGGATATGAGGATTTCCACAATTATATTTGTGGATATTTATCTACCTGTAGATAAAGAATCAGACCAGAAGCCTCTCATTATTATATTAAAAAAACTCTGGAAAATATATCTTCCCATATACTAGGATTGGTATTAATATTGCACAGAAATAGTTTGGAGATTCTGTGTTCATTCTTACATACAGGCATAACATATGTGCACACACATGTAAATACTACTTACAGTTGGAGGTACACTTAATTTGGTTCTTCTCTTGTTCTGGTATACATCAGAATAACATATTAAAGTTAGTGGAGCTCTAAGTGTCAATGGGATGAGAATAAATGTTTTTTTATTCCTGGTTTTAGGTGTTTGGGTCTTCCTTCCTTGCTTGCTTCCTTTCTTTCTGTAGTGAAGCAGAACCTAAATGCAGTAAAAGTTTGTGATTTTAAAAAATAAAAATTAGAAACCAGTTTTAACATATAATTGTTCCTTTCCTTCAACTATGTAGTAAATGTTACCAAATGCACTGTGATTTTAACTTCAGTCTTACTCATAACAGTAGCACTTAATTTTTATTTAATTTCATAAAAGCAAGTAGAGTTAATCTGAATCACTCTGGTGTAAATAAAGGGATAACTGAGTTTTGAAAGATAACATCTTGCTGTCTGTTCCATAGCTGTCCAAATGGATGAAAAAACCTGTTATGTTCACCCAGATCATGTACCTTTAAAAGCGAACTGTCAGTGATTCATGGAGTTCCAATGAAATATGCAGCATTTATAATGCTGCTACATATGTGAACATATCTCTGTACATGAATGTCATTTAGGTATAAATGTTCTAAGTTGACTCAAGCATGTTTCTTCTGCGAAAACAAACAAACAAAAAAACCCCAATCAACCAAACCACCACCAACAACAAAAAAAGTAAATTCTATTTAAATATATAGTAGGTACCTATTATATATTTCAGGTTGAATTCACAAAAAAGTTCCTGGGAAAAAGAGGGGAAATTTTATTATTGCCTCAAGGGGTACCTCAATTAAAAAAATAAAATTTAAAAAAAACCCAATCAACCAACCAACCAAAAAAACTCAAAAACCACTAGTGAGAAAATCTTAGAAAGATATTTTATCTAGCAGTTCAGGAACTTACTCAGGGTGTCATACACCCAAGTTAAAACTACTGTCCCTCTGAGGTGTTTTGAGTCTACATCATGCAAAAGAAGAACTTCAGGAATAGTCATTCCTGAATAGTTTTATGAGATGACGTGGGACATATTCAGTACTTCTTGTCTTTAGAGAAGCCATAAAACATTCTTTGAAGTTTTAATTGAAGATTTTGTTGGAGCTCAACTTGTAACCAAAGTGAAAAACTAATCTTTTACCAATTAATTTAGTTTTAATTTTCACTCACTCCTTACACTGCATGCAATGTGACAAATGAAAGGATGACTGCCTCTGAATATCTTCAAAGTTGATGGCTAAGATACTGTTCTTCAGTACTAGAGCTCAGTGACAATATTGCCTCTACCTTTTTGACCTTCAAGGGAATTAGTGAAGCATTTCTTACAGTATTACTTGTTATCCATTTTGCACAGGGAAACAAGACTTGAGAAGAGTGAACATGTGAAAGTGGTAAGGGCACCTGAAGAAAAACTGAGTTTAAAAGCAAAAGGAGAAAGATGGAATAGAAACCAAATATCATAAGCAAAATTTGTATCCCATTATTCCTTCCTGCCTGTTATCAACAAGTACCTCCATCCTTATCTGGTACAAAGCAAACAGACTTTCAGATAGAGCAAAAGGCAGGGCTGACAGTTCTGCAGCCAGCTCAACAGCAGCAGTCTTTATTGGGTGCTATCTGCAGCACAAAAACCAAGCTGCATTTCCCTTTTATGCCCTCTTATGGAAACAACTCATAACTAGTAATGATTGATGTGTCTTTTAGCAAGCACACATAGCTAATCCAGTAACTGGATCTTTCACATTTACATGGCATTTTCAAGCTCATGAAGAACAATTAAAACCAGCCACTGGGACACTCCCTTTTTATCATAATTCACCAAGGACTGGGGCTTCAGTCATTGTATCTTCTAAAGCTTTACAATACTTTTCTATAACTATAAAGGAGTTTTCTATTCTGTAGATTTTAAGACTGTAGTTGGAGGTTTTTGTTGCTATTGTTCACAGCTGAAGGAGAAGGTTATTTGTTTTACTAAGATAAGGTTTCTGAAACATCCTGCTTAAAAAAATACAGCAAAACTGGATGATGTTTTCTCTCTTTTTCTAGTTATCTGTTATTTTCTTCAGAAACTGAAATGTCATCTTGCCTCCTGGATAAATTATCTTTTTGATTAAAACAGAAACGAAAAACCTCCAAGATATAAATAAAGGTCAGATGAAGAGGTTCAGTTTAGCACAGGCATTGCTAAACACAAAGTTGTTCAGCTGCACTTTCAAAAACTTGTATATTTTCCTTTTCTTTGAACACTCTCATGACTCTTACGCTATGCTGTTTTCCAGTAAAATCACCAGGGCCAGAGCATGGGCCCAGGCACTAGTATTGCAGTTGCCCTTCATGTTAGTCCTTAGCACAGCACTGTCCTCTACAAGCTCAGTCCATCTCAGACAGTGCCCAGGTAAAACCTGGAAGTTAGCTCGGGTCAAACCACATTCCCACTAATCAGTTTGTTTGGAGTTACATTATTTAAATGTTAGAGTATCTAACCATTAGCTATGATCTATACTGTGCTGAGGTAGTATAGATGTAGTCTTATTGCCAGACCAGAATTTCACTCATTTCATACACCATCTGACCTTTTCAAGCACGTCCAAAATGAAGATTAAAATTGGAAGTTATTTCATTTATACTCATACATTAAATTGAAGACGTGGTTTCAAATTGCTTCAGTGCCAGATAATTGTGCTTAAATGTTACACCCTGGTTCAGAAGCTCCACGCTTTTACCAGGTGTTACACTTTAATTTTGGACTTCAAGAGATTTTGCCTACACAAACACTCACAAAGTCTTTGATTCTTTGGTACCTTGAGTTCACATACAGAGAAAAGTCTACACACTTTTCTCTAGGAGACTTCAATTGGTAAGAAAATAGGTGTTTTGGCAAAAAGAGTTTTACAGAAATAACATGCAAACCGAGGAAAAGTATTTCACTACAACACCCAGTTCAAAGAACTCAATTCACAGAAGCATTGGACTTAATAGCAAGTTACTCGGCAAACACCAACCCAAACTTAAGTGAAATTCAGAAAATAGGTGTTTAAGTTGCCCAGAAGAGGAATGAAAGAGTGATTAAGAGAAGAAATAATAAAGAGAGAAAGAGAGGACAGAAACACATAGTTACCATTTAAAAGGTCACAAGTTGACTGACAAGGAGAACTACAGGCCAAGGCAATATGGAAACCTCCTGCGTGTCTGTTTATAGACTTTGGCTGTTGTGGCCACTCCCTCTAGCCAGGACTTTTGGTTTACTGACCACTCATGGTCCCACTTGCCAAAGTGAGGGGTGCCACAGACAATTAGGGGGCACAGTGTGGGTGGACCACCAGGCAGACCTTATTGACAGCCTAGCTACACAGCTTTCCCTGCCGTGTGCTCTGGGCCATATTTGCTGCAGGCCTAGGCCTAGCCCTTCTCCCCCCCACCCCCAGACATGAGTTTATTTGACCCATCACTCAAACTACCCGGTGAGATACAAATCTGGTCTCTGACATAAAGTATCTAAGCTTGCAATATTATAAGAAACTTTTCTCCTGGGTTCAATGAACACCAGTGTTGTGGTTTAACCCCAGCCAGCAACCAAGCTCCATGCAGCACCTCACTCACTCCCCTACCAGCAGGATCAGACAGAGCTTCAAAAGGGCAAAAGCTAAAAAACTCATGGGTGGAGATAAAGACAGTTTAATAGGGAAGTCAAATGCTGCGCACACAAACAAAGCAAAACAAGGAATGGGAGGGTAAGTGTTCACCCACCTCCGGGAGAGCAGGGTTTCATCACACGTAAGACTTACTTGGGAGGACAAATGCCATTACTCCAAATATCCCCCCCTCCTCTTTCTTCCCCCCAGCTTTATATACTGAGCATGATGTCATGTGGTCTGGAATATGACGCTTTGGTAAAAAATCCCTTTGATCAGTTTGGGTCACCTGTCCCAGCTGTGTCTCCTCCCAACCTCCCATGCACCCCCAACTTCCTTGCCAGCGTGGCAGTATGAAAAGCAGAAAAGACCTTGGCTCTATGTAAGCATTGCTCAGCAATAACAAAATAATCTCTACATTAGCAACCCTGTGTTCAGCACAAATCCAAAACATAGCCCCACACCAGCCACTCTGAAGAAAATTCACTCTACCCCAGCCAAAACCAGCACTCCCATGAACAAAGAGAACCAGGAAATTCCACCTGTATATAAAAAAGAACTTTCCTGTGAGGATGATGGACCACTTGCACTGGTTCCCCAGAGACGTTGACAATATCACCTTCCCTGGAGATATTCAAAACACAATCCTCGCTGATGTGCTTTAGGGAACTATGCTTGAGCAGGGAGGTTGGACTAGATTTATCACCAGTGCTCCTTTCTAATTTTAAGTATTCTGTGATTCTGTGACCATGATCTCAGATGGAATTGATGCATATCACAAGTTTTAGCCATTGAAAAGAGTTATTTTAAGAGACTGCACAACAAAAATCTTCCACATTTTATTACGTCATCATAAACAGTTTGAGCAGGACATATCTTGAATCAGCAACATGACTAACAGCTCTCAAGCATAAATCTCATATTGAACTTTGTTTTAGGGTGACATTAATCAACAGGTCATGTCTTCTTCCTACTTTTCTTTCTTACTTATAGAGATATTGAAAGCCTCTTACTGGTACCTAAAAGATCAATATATATTATGACTTGACCTAACAGCTTAGTGAATTAAAGATAAATTTCATAAATGCAAGATAAAAATATTGATTTTCTTTTTTTATTAAGACATAATTTGAATTTCCAAAAAAGAAAAATATTTATTAAAGGAAATTAAAGAAATATAGGACACAAGACTCAACTGTTGCCAAGGTTTTGCACAAGCACATGGAAACTGATTGACTGTTTGCAGTCCACTGAAATAAAGCAACTACAACAGAATCAAAATTCCAACCAGGTATTTTTAATGTCTCTTTGGTTTGAGCAGAATAAGATAAACTCACATTAATGGATGCTACTGCATTATGTAAGCAAGATTAGATATTTAGATAAATAGTATGTTGTCCTTGTCTTACACAATTACTTAAAAAGGAATACCCAGATTACATATAAACAAATACCCAGATGAAAGCTGATCTGCAGTTTCTGAAATAATGTTCAGTGAAACAGATTTATAAAACTATTTATAGGTCCAAGAGGAAGTGCTTCAGGGGCTGTTTGAAGACTTTTGCCTTCTTAGGAGTGTGATTTGAGAATCATGCTGGTTTAAAAAATTCTTAGTAGCTAGATATCTGCATTATTTTTAAGTCTAAATATATAAAAATCCCAACCAATTTCAGTATTGCCTAAATTTCAACATCTTCTTTATATGCCCAGAGTGCTGCTGCTTATTTTCCCCAACAAGGTAAATCACATAGCCAAGGTCACAGAGTGGAAAAATATAATATTCTTATTTGTCCAGGTGAAACTAAGACCCATCTCTTCTTTCTCTTTCCCCTTCACCCAGAAGGCAGAGGTCTCAAAGGACTATAGTGCCAGGTCAAAAGTTAAGAGCAATACCTTTAGATCCTTTCTTCTACTAAGGAATCAGAAGTCTTTTTTGAGTACTCTCTTTTTTTTTTTTTTCTCTCTATATGAACTGATTTCACTTCCTTTGGGGCACTATTAGTTGTGCTACTTTCTAGGCTTTCAGAAGTCTTATTTGCTGTCCTGTCTGCCTGGATCTAGTCCTGAGGTTTAAACTGAATGCTATAACTTCTTTGTCTCAATATTTAAATGGAATCAGAAAAGAAGTGTTCTCTGGTATTATATTAGATAGGTGCCTAGTGGGATACTAAAAATCTTTTTATGTGCACTTATTTGGTAACAACTATCTGCCTTACACTGTGTTGAAGCTATTATTTCCTTTTGGGGATATTAAAGAAAAATAATATCACAGACACTTTTCTAAGGCTTTCTTTTTATTTGTGTTTTTGTTTGTTTTGTGATGTCCAATCTAAAACTATTAAAAAAAAAAAAAGAATGGAAAGGAAAAAAGAATAAAAAGAGTGAAAGGGTCCAATTATGTACTAATCTGATGAAAATTGACAATTTAAAAAGCTATGTTAGAATCAAAATGTGAATAAGCCTTCTGTTCTTCAGATACACAAAATTACCTACCCTGCAGAACAAAAATTATTTTTGGCGAGGCACACTTGTAGTGATTTGTGTGTAAATATATAATTTTCTGAGTATTTAATTGCTGCAGAAAAAAACTGACTCCTTTCTCCATGGTGTCTTTCCATCTATCCAGCAAGTTCAAAGGTTTCCTCTCCTTCTCTTCAGTTTTTTCAACAACTGGGTCTAAAAAGATATACAGCTATCCTCATTACACATATGTATTAGAAAATAGAAAATATACAGAGTAAAGTGACAAATTTTACATATATTTATTAATTCATGATTCACCTGTGTTCAGACACTAGAGACAAGAAGGGTTGGAAAATATATATACTGAATAGAGTAGAAATATCAACCACAGGGATTTTTACAAGGACTTTCTGCTAGGTATGAGACATAGGTAAGGAATAAGCCTGGAATTGATTGTCTAAAGTGTAACAGTTGTGCCACAGATAGATCTGAAGTAGAAGCTGAGTACAGAATTCTGAGAAGGGTGACTTCATCAAAGCAATGGGCTAGAAACAGTACCTTTGCAGAATGGTTCTTTAAGGTTATGTTCAGCAAAATACTCACTATTCAAATACAAAGAAAAGGGCAATGTCATCTATATATAAGATCATTACCTGGGGAACATGTAAAAATTATGTTTTAAAAAAAAGCAAACTGTATCTTGTAAAAGCTGTGCCAAAAAATAGATATGCTATATCTAAGCATCTTCATAAGATTTCCAGGAGTATGAATGGGAGACAAATTTAGGTAAGAATTTGCCTTCACCCTCATCCCTCCCTCAGAAAACACTACTTCTAATACTGAGCTAACCAGAAAATCACACTGGCCTTTTTTCTGTGTGTGATTTCTAATTCTCATTCTTCTAATGAATTCCAACACTTCTAATTTTTGCTGTTTTACTTTTATAAATGTTTCAACAGGAGGAAAAAGCAAGTAAGAAAAAGGGGTAAATCACCTAAGTTGAATAAGCCCTCATAAAGAGGTTTTCCCCAAGTCTAGATAAAAATGGAGGAAAGCACTAATGCTCCATTCTTTGTGTCCTGACTTTGATGTTTTCCTCGAAGTGGAGTAGTATTTTTCAAAGATCTTATGTGTTTGAGATGGGCTGTGATCTGCATTTTGTATGGCGTCCTGTAGGGCTGATGACTATATCCATGATTAAATTTTGTTAATGATTTTTCTGGTTACCCCTAAGCTCTGCTAGTGCAGTTGGACTGAGAACTTCAAATCTTTTAGGCTTAAACTGTGAATCAGAAAAAGTTCCAAGATTAAGGCAGGGGCTTCAGAGGTTTTGTGGAGTTTTGTAGATAACAAGCCTTGGCTTGATACCAGAAAGTCATATACACCTGAACATAACCTAAAATGTTCACGATTTCCCTTTCTCCTTGCCTAATATAACACCTTCATCTCTTGGGCCTGACAAAGTCCCATCATAGGTGTGCTCTCTCTCTTTCTCTCCCTGACATATATTACTATTGGATCTCCCACGAACACAAAAGCATTCATCTTCAGACCTTATTATGGCTTCATAATTCACTATCCATGTTCATAAAATTGCTCTAATTCAAATGGGTCAGTGTTTTATCTGTCAAAATAAACATCTATTTAAGTATAAACTGAAGTCAGGTATTAATAAATATTATACGATCCTTTTTCTTTTTAAGACTTTGGCAAGATATTTTGTATTCATTCTGCCTTTTTCCTAGGAAATTATAAGAAAACATGTAATGTTTGCCTTCAATATTATGAAAACCCAGAAAGGGTTCTGAAAATTCCAGGAAAGCTCCGTGAGGTTTGCTGATTCCCAGGTAAAAGAAAATAATAAAATGAAATTTAAACTAACTGACAGTAAAAGAGGGTCAGACAACATGCATAAGTTTTCAAGGTCAAAAGGCAGATAATTCTGTGAGACAATAATTCTGAGAGCAGGGAACAGTTTTATTTATTTATTTATTTATTTATTTTAAATTGCAGAACCCTTGTGGGCTGCTTTGTATTCTTTACAAGTTTTAATAAAGTTTTGCTGGTAGATACCCAAAGTAAATGCATGTGGATATACCCCTTTGTCTCTTAAGCACTGTCTGCAGTATACAGTGTTTAACATTTTAACATTTTAATGCTTTCATGACTCTATATATCCTTGATGTCATCACTCCCTTGCTGATGTAGCTTACTTTCCGAGTTAAACAAAGGCATCGGCAGAGAAGTTACAAAGTGTTCTATCTCCTGACCCTCACATTGGCAGTTCAATATATTTTAGAATAACTAAAGGTATGGAAGTGGAATTATGAAACAAGCAGGCACTTCAGAAGACAGTTCTATGAATTTATAGCTTTACTGCGTAGTGGAACTGCTGTAGTTTTAAGAGAACAAGGACATACATCTGGAAAATAAAACATAATGGTAGTGGCTCACTCGAAGTAAAAGATAAAAACATCTGTCAAATACAATTGTGGAGAAAATGTGAGATTATTTGTTCGTTGGAATTTATTTATTTAATATATTTTGATACTTGTCTGCTAAATGAGGGTCGGGGAAACTGCCACACAGCTGAT